CCCAAAACCCCAAAACCCCAAAACCCCAAAACCCCACAGAGAAAATATTTAATTGGAAAATTTTAATAGCAAATGAGGGTAAAGCGGTTGAAGAGAAGGGATTTGGCTGGGTTTTAAGACTGGAAGAAAAGTGGGGGTTAAGGGAAATGAGGGTTGGGGGAAGGGATAGTGGAAGAAGGTGGCTTGAGGGTTATAGAAGATTTGGTATAAGTGGGAGTAGGGGAAGAAAGGATTGTTATAAATTGTTAAAGTATTTTCGTTTTGAGGCGAGAATTAGGAGCATTATTTCATTTTCCTGTTGAAGTGAGTCTTTTAGCATAGTTTATGTCAAAGTAAGATTGTGACTGTGGAAGAGAGGCTGAGGATTATAAGTAAATGGGAGGATGGTTGAATGGATGATATACTTGAGGTGCTAACTAATCAATTTGCTGAAAATTAGCCAAGACTAACTGGCACCAAACTTTACTATAAACCCTATAAAACAGAACTAAACCATGAAAAACTCCTCCCTCATCTACCCCCTCCTTTAAAACCTACTTTTTACCACTCCCTTACATAAAATCCCCCACTTCCCACCCTAAACAAACCTCTCCACAAAAATTCCCCACCCTTCCCCAATTCCCAATAACCTGCCCACCCCCTATCTCTTCATGCCCAACCCCTCACAAATCCCTCAGTCTACCACCTCCATTCAAAATCTGACCAAAATTTCTCCCCTAAACGCCCAGATTCTACTCTAAATTCTAAATCTGCGTAAAAATTACTCGTTTAAAATCTGAAGAATAGGAAAAGAATGAAAATTACGTTGAAAAGCCTCTTTTGGGATTTTTTAGGGGGGATGAAGGGGTGGGGGTTTATGATTTGTTAGGGGAGGAGGAAGTGGAGTGTTAGAGGGGTTAGGAAAATTTAGATATTAGGCACTGTTTATGTCGTTCATTGTTATGAGGATTTCTTGAGATGGAGAGTGGGATTTGGCATTTGGAGGGGATTTATGAGTGGGGTGGGGTATGGAAGAGCTTCTGAGTCTAATGGCTTGCTGGAGTAAGTCCTTTATATCACTTTGTAGCTTTGATTTAGTGGGGTGTCGCTGTCATGTTATTTCCTTTCAAGAAAATCCATTATCAACAAATTTTACACTATTTTTAATTGGAGAAACTTCTTTACGTAAATCAGCAAAATAAGGTAATAGCCGAACAGAACAGGAAAAGGGTTCAATGAGTTCTTCACTCTTAAACCTTCTTCTGAAAGGATTAGCTGCCATGTTCTTATGTAAACTCTTCGAGACATGAACACTTAAAACAGAAGCGTTCTCATCTAACAAATCTTCAGACACATCTTCATACAAAAGGGGCTTGTTGCTCATATTATTATTTATGATTTCAATCTTAACTCCCATATTAGGGGTTTTGGGGTTTTGGGGTTTTGGGGTTTTGGGG